TATCACCAAAAGCACCGGGATCACCCCAATTTTGAGGTGGGAGGGATGTGGGTAAGCTGAGCCCTCTTGTAGTGACGAGCATCTTCTTCATCACCAGTTGGTTTTTGGCTGTGTCTTTCCTTCCGCAAAAAAAAAAAAAAAAAGTCAATAAATCCTTGGGTTTGGTTGGCAGTGGTCTGGGTGAGGATTTTAATGGCCAAGGGATTTAGGTTTCCATCCCAGCTTTGCACCTTCTGAGAGGGGGTTCAAAACTTGGCTCTAAGTCGCGCTTAGGCAGATTTGCAGCCTGAATTCCGGCAGTCCCTTGATGTGCCGTGATCTGAGATACTTTTTTTCTGCTCCATCGAGCATCCTTCTCGTATTGTAAGCCCAGAAAAGCCCCGTTCCCTGCGGATTTAGTTTCTGCGCAAGCTGCTAGAAGAAGGGGACCGCACGCACAGGCTTTGCCATCCCACCCTCGTGCCCTGCTTGCAGCACTGAGAGCATCTCCAGTGGTTGAATTTGACTGGTTTTCTCGCTTTTCTCCTAAAGATATACCTACCACGTTGCATTGCAGAAGGACGGAGGTGACTCAGAGCAGGGTGGGAGGATTTGGGCAACTTCGCCGTGCCCGGCACCCCAAAATATATACAGCAAGCTGCTGGGAAGCAGAGTTTTTTCCACGTAGGATGAATAACAGACTACATCTGCTGATGCAGAAGCACCATATAACGGGTAGATATCGCTCCAGAAAGGATGCAAAAGATGTATCGCCAGCAGGAACAAGGCTGGGTGATAATGCTGCTGGTTTGGCTTCCAGATAGACCATCACTCACAGAGAAAAACCTCCAGCACTTCGTCTCCGCTCGGGCTGTCTTCCCCTTGCGACTACTTGATGATGAGATATTTTCCATAAGTGCTGGCCGAGGTGGCTCTTTTTAAGCTACGCTTACGTCTTACTGCGTTATTATGGTTTCGGGGTGTTTTTTTCTTTCTCTTTTCGCTTCTCTGAGGAAGTCCTTTGCAAGCCGTCGATGTGCGCAAACTGGCTGGAGATAGTTGGGTTTCCTCCTGACGGAGAGCGAATTTACGCTGCTGTAATTATAGCAGCGGCGTGGGAGCGGAGCGACGCTCGAGGAAGCGCGGGCGAGCCCGGTTTCCAAATTAAACCCTTCCGCTCCTAGAAATGTGCCTTTAATATATTATTTATCTTTTTTTTTTTTTTTTTTAGAGCGGGAAATCACATCTAAGTGACTTCGTGATGGGAAACGATTTGGAGGGGGCAGGATTTGGGCGCTTGGGTGTCAGGGATGCTCTGCCCCTGGGTTTGTTTGCGTGGACCATCCCTCCTCCGCCTCCTGATCTGCTCAAAGCTCCCCGCCGCGAGAAAACAACCCGGCTCTTTAAAATGGAAAGGGCTTATTTAAACAATGTTATCTCCCTGGTGAAGGGAAGAGAGCATATTGAATGGTTATATTTAGTGCCGGGTGTAGGACAAAGCAGATGCAGAGAGATTTTTAACGCGGGAATGTTAATCGCTTACGCCACGCTGCCTCAGAGATGTGTGTATATATATATATATATTTTTTTTATATATATATGCACCACGCACGTGCTCAGACGCCCGTGTACTTGCTGAGGATGAGGATGGGAGTTGAACATCCCTCCTTGATTTGCTTTTTGACCCTTTTTCCACCCGGGAAAGCCTGTCCCGGCAGGGTGAAGCGATGCAGCTCTGGGAGCTGGGGACCCCCCTCGAAACGGGCAGCAGGAGGGATGCGCTTTGACTGTATGGGGGCACACGCAGCCCCCTCCTCTTGTGCACCCCCCCCGAAAATGGGATGGGGATGGGAAGGAGAGCACTTACAGCCTTGCAAATGGGCTGTTTAACAACCCCAGCAGTGCTCTCCCTCCCGCCGGCGAGCGGCGAGGAAAGCCTACCGCATTACCCAGCCTCTATTACCCACCCTCGCGGGAGCACTGAATTAAAGGAAATATTTTATGATCCTACGCTTCGTTATGTTTTATTAAAAGCACAGCAGCAGCCTCCCCTGCCACATTCATCAGATCAGAGGCTCTGTTGGTTTTTTTTTCCCCCCCTCCCTCCCAAGCTCTGGCTGCCGGCGCTGTTGTTCCCAAAGCATCCGACTTCTTGGGTTGGCTGTAGGGCCGGTCCAGGGTCTCCCAGCAGAGGAGGAAAATATGCAATGGGGTGAAAAACGGGGGCAGATCGGTTGATTGAAGGATGCTCCGTATCCAAACTGGCTTGGGGCTGTGGAGCCGTGCGGCAGAAAGAGCTGATGAGTGCAGGAATAGGGCTGGACGTGGGAAAAGCGGAGTCACGGGGAGATATCATCCCACGGAGGGGTTTGAGTCATGGATGGAGATGAGCACATCCCCGTGAAAAGATGCTCAGAAAAGCCTCCTCTCCTTTTTCAGCTTTGCTCCATCTCAGGGAGATCGAGCCCAGGCTAGGAAAACCTGCGGAATATTGCTGTTTTGGGGGGAAAGACCCCCAAAAATCCCTTTTGCAGAGCTAAAGGAGCGAGCAGGGCCGGGAATTCGCTCTATCAACCTTTGAGATCAGCAGCAAAAAGCCAGACAAATATAGATAGCCAGGCATATCTGGAAGCGGTTGGGAGACAGAAAGGTATTAATTAGCAGTTATTTCTCAATGGTGCGGAGATGGATAGGGATTAAGGTAACAGCCATGTGCATCCTCTCCGTAAGAGCAGCGAAGTAACGGTAAATCAGCGTTATGAATCGGTGCTGTAAGAGGGAGATATGTTTTAATCTTATTAGCAGCGCGGCATTACTGGGAGAGCAAAGGGATTATTAATCACGGAGCATAAATCGGGGAGAAGAGGGTAGCTTCAAATTAGCAATACCGCTTTGTACAGCGCAGAGGGGTAGTGGAGAGGGAGGAGAAAAGGCAGCGGATGGAGGCTGAGTCGGGGGGGATGTACCAAGGGAAAGGGCAAAAAGCCCGTGCCGGGGGGGGAGGAGGGAGAGGTTGGGATGCGGCGGCCCCCCTGCCCCGGCCAAATCTGTGCCTGGGAGTGTGTGAAGGGGCATCTCTGGGCCGATGCCAAAGCCCAGAGCTGGAAATCACTGTAGGTTGTGGCTGTTATATTGTAGGATATGCAGGTATCTGTCCCATCAACCCATCCATCTGGCTGTCCCTTCATCCCTCCCTTCCTTCCTCCATCTCTACCCCTCTGTTCTTCCATCTGTCCTTTCCTTCATCCCTCCATCCCTCCCTCTGTCCCTCCCTCTGTTCCTCCCTCTATCCCTCTATTCCTCCATCGCTTCCTTCATCCCTCCGTCCCTCCCTCTATTCCTCCATCCCTCCCTTCATCCCTCCATGCCTCCCTCTATCCCTCTGTCCCTCCATCCCTCCCTCTATTCCTCCATCCCTCCCTCTGTTCCTCCATCCCTCCCTCTATTCCTCCATCCCTTCCTTCATCCCTCCGTCCTTCCCTCTATTCCTCCATCCCTCCTTCCATCCCTCCCTCCATCCCTCCCTCTATCCCTCTATTCCTCCATCCCTCCCTCTATCCATCGCTCCCTCTATACCTCTATTCCTCCATCCATCCCGTCCTTCATCCCTCCATCCCTCTACCCCCTCTTCTTCCCTCTGTCTCTTCCTTCATCCCTCCCTCCATCACTCCTTCCATCCCTCTCTCCATCCTTCTGTCCCTCCCTCCATCCCCTTTCCCCCATACACAACCAGTAGAAGACACTGGAGCGCTCCCAGTGTGAGCACAGAGGGTTTTGCAGCGGTGGAGGAGAGGAGCGAGGAGGCTTTGGCTGCTTTTTTGTCACCCAACTCTGCTAACAACGGTGCCAATCTGTTTGCCCCAGGCTCCCCCAAGGTCGTTTTGGGGGTAAAAAGCTGAGCATTACACTCTAAATCGCAAAAAGAAAGAGGATTTTGCAGCTCTTAAGACTTCTGGGCGGCACCAGGCTTTATTTTCCCCCTTGCTCTGCCCAAGGTTGTGCCTTTGGAGAAGTTGTTCAGAAGGAAAATGGATAAATAATAAAAAAAAAAAAATATTAATAATAATAATAATAATCCCTTTCCAGTTACCCGGCGCAGGAATCGATGGTGCGGGCAGAGATCGCTCACGGCAGACACCCGGGGAGGGAGGGGGAGAATCGATGGCTGCCTCGTTTGTCACCAATCAGAAATATGGGATAATTGGATTTCCTGCAAATAGAGAAATAAATAAGCAAATTCATCATCTGGGTCACGGTCACCTCCTTCTCCTGGGCTACCTCGGTGCGGCAAAACCCTCCCAGCAGCTTCTTGGGATTCTTAACTTGGTGGGAAACTCGACGGCAGCATCTAAACCTAAATCTTCTTACTTAATTTCTTTGGTGAAATTAATTGTTTTCCCCCTTTCTGCCCGCCCCAAGCCTGCGTATCTCCTGCTAAAGCTGGAAGAGGAGAAGGTTTAGGGAGGATTTGGAGGTTTCACATGGGGAAAATTCAAAACTGTGCTTATTTTTCCAAGGAGCAGCATCTCTGATAACCCCCGTGGTTATTGCGGGTTGGGATTTTTGCCGGATCTCAGATAGGTTTGTAAAGGGCCTCACCTTCCCCCTTGCAGGTGGGGAAACTGAGGCACAGAGCGGGACTTGCTCCGAAAAGCACCCTCCCAGCAGCTCCCTGCTGCTTCCAGCTCTGCTAATTAACCCTGGCCGGGATTATGCGCCAGCCTAGATTAACGCCACGAGCAGTGGTTTCAAATAATTAGCTGCGGGTGGCGTAATCCTCACCCCGCCGGAGGGCGAAGCAGCGGCAAAACCATCAGCTCCTGCCGGCAGATCCCTCCCCAGTTCACCCAAGAAGCGGATCAGGCTTTGCCGGGAGCTCGGCATCTTTTTTCCCAGGTTTCAACAACTGTATCTAATCCATCAGATCCAGTTTGGAGCTGTAACAAACCAGGCTGGATACAAATAATTCGCTTTTTTTTTTTTTTTTTTTTTAATTTTCTCTCCTGAATTGCATCTGCGGGATGGTTTTTGCTCGGCAGCGCTTTCGGCGCTGGCTGGAGACGAGACCCGTCATCCCAGGTGAGGTTTTCCATAAGCCCCCGTGCTTGGGAGCAGCGTCCAGATGTTGCGTCTTCCTGATGCCAACGCAGTGAGCGATGCCAGAAGGGATCCGGCTGATGGGGGGAATCTCTTCTGTGTCAGGATGGAAAGCCAAACCCGGTGCTGGAAAAGGGGATCTGGGTATTTCCTGGTGGTGGGGGGGAGAAAAACCCACCATTTCCGATCCTTTGCAGAGCAGGATTACAATACAGCACCTCCTTCTCCTGCCGCGCTTAATTCCGGATTAAACCCCACATCTGCACTGGGTTGGGGGGGGTTGTTGGAGCTTAGGAGATCCCACCGCCCTCGCCGTGATGCCGCTTGATTAAAAATAACGTTAAACAGAGGGGGGCGGAATTTTGAGGCTGCACCAGCCCTGCGGAGGCTGCTAAGGTAGGCGGGTGCACGGGCATCCCGACCTCCAGCGCTAACCCGCATCGTGCCCCGGGCGTTGGGGAGGTACCGCACTCTATTGCAAGGTTTTTTTTGGGGGGGGGATGCTCTACCGTCCCGGAGGCGTTGCGTTGAATTTGGTGGCCGGCAATGGCGCCCGCTCCGCAAAAGTGGGATTGTAGGATAATTCCTCATCTCGGTGAGCTCGGGATTTGGTGGGGAAAGTCAAGACCCCGCCGCAAGGCTCTGTGGAAATACATGCAGTTACCGCACTCGGTGGAGAAGTGGTCCGCGTTGCGCGGTGCGGCACCGGGGAGAGCTGGTAAAGCGATACCGGGGTGAAATAAGAAAGAATTGGGGTTTTTTAGCAGGTCGCGAGGTTAATTAGGATCTGTGGTGAGGCGCTGTTAGAAAAAGGAGAAAGCAAATCTCTCCTGGGAGTTATTAGCAGAAGTGGCGCGCGGGAGGGAATTATCGCTCCGCAGTTGAGGTTGGGGGGGGCAGCAGTTTTGGGTGGAAAGCTTTGAGGGAAATCCAGCTGCCGTGGAGGAAATCCGCAGGAGAGCGAGAAGTCCTGCAGGAACGGGGTTTGCTTAATTGGGGAAGGGGAAATTTGGGGTGGGAGGGGAGGGATGCACCGGTGCGACGCAGCGTGCACGGGGTTGGGTGCCGTCTCCCGCCCGGTGCACCTCGGTTTGCCAAAATCTGTTGGCTTTGGCTCACGAGGTGGGAATAAAATTGGGGTGCAGCGGGTTTAGAGGACTCTGCCTTAAATAGTTGGTGCGGGGTTTTTCAAACAGCGTGAATTGCTGGCTGCACTGCAAGCAATCAGCCCTGATTTGCATATATGCATACATACAAATGAAGAGCACGATCTCCATTAAAAAAAAAAAAAAAAAAAACAATGGGGCATCTGAGGCCCAGGTTGACCCGGGCGCGTTTTGGGCTTTGTGGGGGCGCCGGCAGCTGCTTGCACAGCTGGGGAGAGACCAAGAGGTGGGAGCAAAGCCATTGCTCTGCATCAGAGATGCCACCGGGTTTTGGGGGGAATTCGGCTCTGCCGGACTCGGTTTTCCTCCTCTCCTGGGACAAGACATCATTTAGGACTCTGAAACTCCCCCAAAAAAGCACTCAGGACAGCCAAATCCTTAAATAACCCGTAAAGGGGGATAAAGGAACAAGACTGATGAGCAACGTAACGATGACAAACATCCTCCCCTTCCAAAAAAAGCCAAACCCAACGACCCATCGCAGGTCACGGCCACCAATTTTAGCAGCTATAAACCGCAGCCCGGTGCTTCAGCGCTGCGCCAAAGCATTATGTTTTAATGGCAATATCAGTAGTGTGAAGACGCGGTAGTAAAACATCTTCCTCCCCGCCCCAGCATCGTTAGGAGACGGAGGCGTGCGACGTAAGCCGTTGGCTTTACGGCAATGCACGGAGTGCGCCGGTGAGTGTGTGTGTGTGTGTGTGTGAAATTATAAATAAAACTTTACTGCGCTAGAGTAAATGCTGCTAAACATACTTCACGTCTGCGCGGCGGCGGGAGATAAATATTCAATCTATAATTTATGTACACGGTTTCCCAGCCTGTGCAGGGGGGTCCGGGAGCGGCTAATAAAATACAATATATCAAGAAGACTTATCAATGCAGCAAGCGCAACCCTGCTGATAATCTGCGTGGGGTGGCGAGACCCGTCGTCTTCACGTTGACTGCTCTTTTGGGGGGTTGATTTATGAGGTTTCAGGGTTGGCTGGGTGTTTCCCGCGTGGCTGTTGGTTTTTGGTTGGGTTTCTGGTCTTTCTTCATGCGCGTGCATGTAGAGAAATGCTCGTTTAGGAATGACCTCGATCTTCAGCCTTGGGGGTGTTGAAATGTTACCCATATGGAAGATATTTCCCGTTCATCCCAATAAGGTACCCCCAAAACTGCTCCCAGTTGTCCAGTGCCTGTTGCTTCCCTCCAAACCTCCCTTTTCCTGCATTCACCCCCAAATTCACGCTTCACCATCTGGAGCATCTCTCGTTTTGTGGATTTGGCTTCGCAGTGGCTCACATCTTCGGGGTGGGCAGGATGAGGACCTTGGCTTCGTGACTCCAGCATTTATGGTGCCGATGTTGCGACTCTGAGTTTCTTTCTGGGAAATCACCTGATTTTTAGGTTGGGGATTCCATTGAACATCCAAATGATGCTTATCCCAGGTGTTTGTAGCAGGGCATGGGCTTGCTCCGGCTGTTTTATTTCAAAACTTCCATTTTTTTGCTGGAAGGACTAATTTCCCGAAGATTTCAGGCAAACGCCTTGACGGAGATGTAGTACAAGCACTAACGTGGCGCCGCGAGTAAAAAGAAACGGAGCTAGAAATGGGCTTTCTCATCTTGTGCTCCGATGAGCTGGAACAGCCTTCCCGATGAGCCTTCGCTTAGAAAAGGTGCGATGAAGACGTTAAAGCGGGTTTTGTTTCAGTCCATGCCCGAGCCGCGGAGCTGATACGGATGGCTCCGTCCGCCGCGGGTTTGTTTGTCGGGAGAAACGCACCAAAGGTGGCGACGGGCTCGTAAAAAGCTGGCGGTTACATCGATTTTATTAGCCGGTGCTCGGTGATGGGTAGAGGTGGCGCTTGAGTAGTTGATAAAAGAGTTCCAGGGGAGGGAAAGGTGGAAACGCTGGAAGGAGGAGATGGAGAAGAAATGGGTGTTGGAGAAGGAGAAGGAGGCACCGCAGCATCCCGACCCAAATCACCCATTGCGTTTGCGTGCCCAAAGTGGCCCAAACTTCCCTTTTCTGTGTCTGAGGTCATTTACTGTACCAAAGTTGCGCTGATGTGCGTGAAAACCCCACTGAGCCAAAGCATTTGTAACATGTTTTTAGCCCAGCACGATCCATTTTGAGCTTCGCTCTTCGTTTCTCTGCGGTCTGCGGTGTTGCTGCACCATACCAGGGCTTAGCTATAGGCGCTGGTATATACGAGCCCATCTCTGCCCTTAAGAATGTAAAAATGACTGTAGTGTTCATAATGAGGGCAAAACTGGTCTAAAAATTGATTTTTTTCTGAAGATATATTGACATAACTCTTCGGGAAGCCCTTACGGGATCGCGCAGTGTTGAAGATGCTCTCCGGGATGCTGCGATGGCTGCACGCAAGTGACGGCATGGCACAAAATTAGGCTTTATTTCTTTTTCTTTCTGGCTAGGATTTATTTTTTTTTTTCAGGAGGAATCCAGGATTTAAGGGAAAAGGGAAAGCTGCGGGCCGTGTTCCAAAGTCCCATCTCAACTGGATTTTGTCACCAGCACTGAAATCGTTGAAAGTTGGGTTTGGTTTTTGCCTTCTACCCGCCCATAACTAAGCCAAAAGCTTTGGATTGGGACGTGGTGATAAATTTTGACCAGTAAAGCTTAAAAACCCCATCATTGTGTAGAGTTGTGACAGATTTTGATCATTAAATCCTAACCGCAGCAGACCCCGTAGGGCCTGTCTGTTCCCAGCAGCCCCGATGAAGTGGTTTTCTCAGTTAATCTTGATTTAAAAGGGGTCGAAAGGCCAAACCGGCCACGCTCGATCGATGTATCGATTCAAATTATTGATTTACATTACAAAGAGCTAACAAGACGCATCCGTAGGATCTGTCGGGTCCAACGTGCCTATTGCATCTTATTTAGTTAGAGAAAAAAGTACCGAAGCGTATTCTACACCTACTCCCTATATATTCCGTACGGTTTCTCCCCGGCTCTGCAATACCGAAGGATTTAGGGGGTGGTCCGGCAACCCCCGTAAAGAATAATTAGAGGTACGGCTGCAAAGTGTTTCCTCCCACTTATGCAAATAGGTGAGGTAAGACTAATTAAATGTTCGTACTTTAATTCACCGCGGTGTGAAGGAAGATGAATTTTAATTACCGGCTCTTAATTGTTTGGTTGGCCTGTTAATATCCTATTTACACAGTATTAATACAATTTGCTCTCTGCCAGCAGGGCTCTTCCTCGTGGCGGGCGATGCTGGGTTTGGTGGTTTTATTTCACGCAACAGCCCCGTTTCGCCGAAGCCAGCCCAGTTTTCGAGTGGGCAGTGGTGGGTTTGGGGCTGCTCAGCCCTGCTCTTGCTCAGCTTTTGGTTTTCTTGCAAGAAAAGCTGGAAATTCAAGCAAAATTCGAGCAGTTCGTGCCTTTAGAAACACAAACGGGCTTCCCCCAACCCTATTTTTTCCTGTGCAAAACGACCATCTCCTTTGGAAGCGCGATGCTGACTCCATCTGTCACATCCCATTCCACTCACTGTTGTTTAACCTGTGTTAAAACACTCCTCCGTTTAAAAAAAAAATAAAAAAATAAATCAATGCAGCAGCTTTCTAGGAGGAAAACCTCAAGATTCAGCAAAATTTGGCCACTCCGCATTGGGACGGGTGCAAATCCTTTGCCGGTTCGTGCCCCTCGCAGCCCTCCTGGGTTAGCACGGGGAGGCAGCTAGACATTATAATTGTAAATTGTCCTGGAATATCATAAATAAGGCATCGCCGGAGCTGGGGAGGGGGGAAGAAGGTATTTGCTGTGCTCGCAGGAACGGGAGCAACCGCTGGCGTTTAATCTTTAATGAACAAGACGTTGCAAAGCGCTGCGAGTCAAAGCGCGTTTGCTTAATGCTCCTCAGCCCCGGCGTGCGGCGGGTGACATCCCTGTCCCCGGGGCGTCGCGCACGGCCGTGAACCCGTGCACGCCGGTGATCTCCCCTTGTGCCAACCATCGTCTTCCTCCGGCTGAGAACGGGGAGCAGCACCTCCCTCGGCTTTTTTGGGGGGTGGTTTGGAATCCTTCAGGCAGCCCCTTCGGCTCTTTTGCGAGAGGGAAAGCGTCTCCTCCAGGAGCAAATGCCTTAATTTCTGGGAAATTATGAAAATCAGACCTGCACTGATTGGGGGGAGGGTTCCCTGTCCCCTTTTCCCCCCTCCCTTCTTGTGTTTGCACCCCAAAATACCATCCCGGCCCCAGCTTGGAAAAGCGAGTGCCGGAAGGCGGTGGAGGAATTGGTGTGAATTATGTATGAGCCCCACTAATCACGGGCTGATTAAAATGATGATGTGTTAATATTATCTCTCCCCGTTGCCTCCGCCGAGGGGGACGTGTCGGCACCTGAAGGATGGGGGGAACACGGCGGGGCAGATGGGGCAGCTGCGTCCCCACGTGGCCTCTCCTCCGACTCCATCCCCACGCTCTGATCCCTGGAAACGCCGCTTGCCCGTCCCCAAATGCACAGATGGGGACAGGCTGAACCTTGGGGACGTGTCCCGCAGGGGTAAAGCCCATCAGCAGTTTGAGGTTAGCTTGTTGGAAAGCGCTGGAAGGTGAGAAATCGGGGAAGAGGAGCGCCCGTTGGTATTAATAAATTAATATCTAATTTAGATGTAGCTTAAAAAATACCAGGCAGGTGGGGAAGATGTGGAGGGGTTGCGTTGCGGTGCTGGGACACGCTCCATCCCCCGGAGGGCTTCAAGGGCACCCAGGGGTGCGGCGGGGGGTGGCCCATGGGTGGCTGTCAGCCGCCCACCCAGCCGCTCTCTCGCTCCCCCCTCCTCACCAGGACAGGGGGAACCTCAGCCCCTTTGGGGTGGGGAAAGGGGTTCAGCCACTCCTGCTGCATCCCGAGAGATTTCCGTGGGGCGATCGGCTGGTCTCGCGTGCCAAAATCCCTCGTGGGATGCTCAAACGGGGTAGAAATAGGGCTTTCAGCCAGCGCCGCCGTGGAAGCACCCGGCCGCGTCCTCCGCTCGCACTGCCGGGGCGAAACCTGCCTCCTCCCTCGCAGCTATTTTGTAATTGAAAGCGCTGAGCATGTTACAATGTGCTCCTTTTATTAATGTGTCACTCCCGATTTAAAAGGACATTTCATTTATCTCTCCCTTCCCCCTCCCTTTTTTTTTTTTTTCCCTCCCCTTAAACTGGATGTCGCAAGAATTCCCACCGCTCACTGGCAAAAATACGCTTTCCTCCCCAGGGATGCGATCTAATCAGAGGGCTGAATTTCCATAGGTCAGAATCTAATCAGAGGGTGGCCCGGCACAGCTTTCAGTATGAAATATGTCTTCTTTAAAAAAAAGAGCAAAGGGGAAGGAGAGGAGCTTCGGGGTTCAGAGCTGCCTTTGGGATGCTGATAATGTGGAGGATAACGGAGCTGTTGGGTCGGGCTCCTCCCTTGGAGGTGCAAATCTGGTGCTCAGCCCTCTTTAAAGACCTTAAAATTCAACGATACCTGTCACCGCTGGCTGCTTCTCCCCAGCAAATCCAAAAAAGGGGATTTGGGGGACCGGTGACACTTCACCATCCTCCGCTGTTGGAAAGCAAAGGGAAAGGAGGGGACGAGGGATGAGATTCGCACGTCAGCCGCAGCAAAACAGCAGGTTTTGGACGGCTCCATCTGGATTCCTGCTTTATTTTTCAACACCTGGCTTTATTATCCCTGCTTTTCCCTCTCCTCTGTACACATCCTTAGCGTTTTGGGAGCTGGCTCCTCCGGGGACCACACATCTGTTTCTCTCCGTTCCTCTCGCTCGTGCCCTTTCCCCCCTTCTTTTCCCCATCTTCTGGGATGATTTTGCTCTGAATTTGGGCACCTGATGCTCTTCGAGTGGGTGGGTGGGTTTTTCGCCCTCCCTCCCCTTCCAGGCATCGCTGGGGCTCTGGCATCAGGGGTCCCTGTCCCCCGCTGTGTCACCGGTGTCATAAATCACAAAGCTTCAGGTTTTCGGCTTTGCCACGCGGGATCTGCTCTGGAGGAGAGGCGCAGGAGCATCCCGTGGTTATGCTCCGGTATTTTGAAGGACCTGATGTTCTCCCAGCGCAGCCGAATCCGAATTAGTGGGTGTAGAGGTGGGAGCCGGTGGGCTGTAGCCTGGCTGATATCTGCACGTGGTTTTGCAGCACGTGGAGGCAGAAAATCATAGGGATCAAAAAAAAAAAAAAAAAAGCCTATTTTGGCTTTTTTTGAGCCACCTAGAAGATGCGGGTTTGGGGATGTGTCCACAGGGGAATTTGCTCAGGTAAATCCTTGTGCCAATGTATTTGCTGCAGGTGAGCGGAGGGGGGTGGTTGGGGCCACCCCAAGCTTGGCCATTTTTGGCTTTAAAAAGCCACCAACCATCCGGAGATGGTCGAAGCGCCGCCAAAACGCTTGGCTGGACCGGGATGGGGGATGCTTCAGCTTGCCATCGCCCTGCATAGGGTGCGATGCCCCGGAGAGAGGGATGGAGAACCATCCGGAGATGCTGCGGTTATGAGCCGGGAACTGCTCTATCTCAATAATCGGCGGCTGCGAGGGAAAATGCAATCTTCGCTCTGCCTTTGTCACCCCTCGGTTCTGCCGCCGGCTTTGTTTAATCGCCCCGTTGATCCGCGCCGCGCCGGGGGGAGGGCAGGAGGGAGATGTAATCTCGCCCGGCGGCTCCCGACGCTGGTTGATGAAGAGGCAGAGCTTTTCCCGCGCCAGTGGAGCCTTCGTCCCTGGTGATGATCTGTCCCCGATTTTCCTTTGGGCAGATGCCCAAACGTTTGCTCATGCCCCCCCTCTTCCCTTTGCTTTTGTGCCTGTTGCTCATCTCCCTTTCAGAAATGTCAAAAGCAAAGCGGGAAGGAATCGGGGCACCCGCCGCGAGCACTCGCCTGACCTTCCTAATGTCCCTCCTCCTCCTCTTCTGC